CAGCTGCTAACCATGGGCGTATATTTTTCTCATTGTAAATTTCAAATCAAAAACGTGTTTGTTTTCGGAAGCTGAAGCGTTCGTTCAGATTTTTCTCTCGGTTCCCGTTCTTTACCTTTTTCCCCGGCGAACTCCTGCTTCGATTATTATTAAAGAACGCTTCATGAAAGGGTCCAAGGACATCCGAAATAACGCCTTATGAAAACGCAATATCCGGTTCCACGCAAAACAAATTAAAAGTGGGGGTATAAAATGTCATGTTATCTAAACACCAAAGAATAGAAGCAAAACGCCGAGTGGGGTGTATTATCGATATGCCGTCACCATTGCAAAATATTGTGTGGGAAGTTCGTGTTAGTAGAGTTTAGTAAGCAGGGGAGAGGTCATTTGTCTTTACTAAAAAGTTTCCTATATTTCATTTTTATTTCACGACTCCTCTTGTGATAGCTCAAAAATTTAAGTAATTTGAAATTAGTCTTGGTCTGGTGATCTGGTGTGTTTTTTGTGTAAATAGTCCGAGATTTTGCAGGCTTTTTTTCTATACAGTTTTTGGATCTGTTTACCGGGCTGTCGAACATTTTTGCCTCATATTTTCTCAGTACATGTCTTTAAACTACGTAAATCATCAGAAGTTCTTTCTCTATTCTTTGAGTCTCTTGTATTTTCTTGTTAAAAAAATAAAATTGAACGGAACTGTGATGACCTTTTTATCCTTGAAATGCTGAACTTTATTCAAAAATGCTGAAACCATATTAAAGAATATAAGATCGATAGCGACACTACAATTCAGCCTGATCTCATCATTTTTTAAAAAAGGAACTGTTTTCATGCAAACGCCGTTGTGCAACGTTTGCTCAGTACAGTCAGGAGCCTATGGTACAGTTTAGTCCCATTGTCTTTAGTGTTCAGGAGTTGTCTTCTATTGCCAAGAGAAATAAACAAGAAGGATTTTTAATGATGTGCCCAAACCTAAAAAAAAGAGTATTATGGTATTTCAGCAATAGCCTTCTCGAATTTCTGTTCTATTGACAATCAATCCCGACGCATGCGTCAATGTGGGTCATGTGAACTTCTTTCTTCGGATCACTCTAGATTGTCCTAAGAATGAACATGGGCGGCAAACAGTGTCCTGAAAATGGCTGGTAAAACGTTACAAACATTTTGACACGTGATTATGTTAAACTGTCCTTTTTGCTCGCTGTTTACCATTTCTGTCCTTGGTGAACAAAATTAAATTGTTTTAGCTGAATAGATTAGAAATGAGCAAGTGTCAGCAAGCAAATTGTAAGGCCAACAGAAAGTATAGAGTTATTGTAACAAAGGAGAGCGTTATAACATTAAATCGTTGCTTAAAACCTGAGGATTTGGCCTTAAGTAACTTAGTAGTCATCTCGAATCTACTTGTGTTTCCAGGCTCAGTTTTCACGAACTTCTTAGTTGAAAATGTGGGTTCAGAAGCTTCGATGGCAAGAATTTGAGTTTCCTCGGAATAACCTTTACGGGTATGCATGCTGAACATTCGAGGATTATTTACATCGTCCATTTCTTGATAGGCCCACACAATGAAAACCCTGGTTGAGATCTGCAAGTGAAACAATATAAAGTGATTTTTTTATATCAGACCCAGAAATGAAGAAACAATCCTCCAAATAAGGCAGTTTGTGTTAATGTAGAATCGCTTCAAGCCTTGAAGAGAAACATGAAAAAATTTAAAGCTTTTTGCATGAAACAAATTGAATACGGAAAGAGGTAACCCATGACCTTGGCGTTTGTTTTGTGATGCTCTTTCACTTAAAAGTATAAGGGAATGTCTGCGATTAATACTGTCAGGGAAAATATTCAAGAAATCGTATATAGATGAGTAGCGTTTTGAATGGAGTACTGATAAACGCTTTTGAAAATAGCCGGCATTGGTTATTAGGCGTCGCCCTTACTTGTAGTACTATACCGTCATTTTCAGGCTATTTAATGCTCTGTTCCAGGTTGCCAGTTACTGAAAACGGAAAACGGTAACTGTGTGCGAGAAAAAACGCACCAAGACTGATGCCAAGCGGGACTGGTGTCTCTTGAGTTTCGCACTCATTTTTTTCTATTTTCCCTCTTCTGGACCAAACGAGCGGATTCGACTGGAATAGGCTGTACACTGGTCTATAAAGAGCTATAAAGTAAGCCGGGAACTGCTTGCATTGGTTCATGACTCTCAGGGCGTTATATATGCTATAAATACCGTTATTCAATTGATTCAACTTATAGAACCAAAAATAGCACTGAATAACAAGCTTATAATACGAAAAAACACGACATTTGAAACCTATAAATTATTCTAAGTCCTCTTTATAGGCTCCTTTAATGTCAGGAACCGTCTCCAAATAATTATCTCTCGAAAAGACTCTTTCATCCTTTCAGTTCCATTCCCATGCAGTCCAGAGAAAGAGAAAATAAGAGAATCGAGAACGAGATTTTGAGGTTTTGCACTTTAAATCTATTCACTGGATATATATTGATGTTGAGGCCTCAGAGAGAACTTACATTAAACTGAATGTCCTGTGAGTCATTTGTGTTTCTTTTCCGATGAAAGCGAAGTGATGTAATTCCCTGTTGTTCCGTTGCTTTGTCCAATATATAACTTTGTTTTGAGTCCAAGTGGGGTATTCCAACTCCAGAAGTCAAATAATCCTGTTAAGAAAAGTCTCCCTTTCAGTCCGATCCCTCTTCATGCTAAAACCAATAAATTCGTTATCGCATCTTTTTAATTAGGGATTGAAAACGTTTTCTGTCTGCATTAGCTTTCTCGAAGAGAATTTGATCGAGATGATCTAGACGATCTACACTTGTCCTCATCGTGAAAACGCACACTCGTACGTCTCAACTGATAGAATTTACCCACCCCACTTAAAGTTTTAAAAATGAAACTTAAGTAGCCAGGTATATTATGGAAACTTTCACTTAAGTGCAGGGTAGTAGGAGGCTGCCCTATAAAAGCGTGAAGCTAGAAAGAAAACTGTTACAAGTTATACTTGAGTTCGGCTTTGACTCTGAGTGAAAAGGGCTTTCAGAGCCACAACCCTCTTAACTAAATGTCATTTTCACAGTGGTCAGTGCAACTGTGTCAATTAGATGACAATTCTGCCATTGGCATACCAATGGCTTCTTATTCGGCAGTAATTCGGTGCTTTATAGAGATTCTAATGGATTTATCCGTTTTCTTTTTTATAAAACAAGTAATTTCTCAAGTATTTTAAATCAGGTTGGACCAGTAAGAAACAGGCGAAATTACACCAAAGTTGCCGTCCCTATGTAAGGGTTTCACATTTCGAAAGTAACAGGGACCTAAGTTTTCTGGATTTTTGGGCGCATTTGCTATCTTTGTAGTCTCAGTATTTGAGAAAAAAAATCAGGAATCTACACTTACATAGAAATAGCTCTGTCCCCAGTCTGTTTGTCCGCCGATGACTACATCATAGTTGCTCATATTTTCTGGTGTAAAGGTGAAGCCAAAACCAACCCAACCACTTGTCTTCGCATTAACTTCAAAATACAACTCATCAAAGTCCTGGCTGTATGACCACGACGCATCAAAATTACCATTATCAAAAGACATACGAACACCTAAAGTCTTATGAAAACAAAGCAGCAAAACTACTGAAAATGCCACCACCTTGAACATCATCGCTTATAGTTGTCAAAGTACCAAAAAGAAGCAATTTTAGTTCAGTTTTAGATACACGGGTAGGTTGTTGTACACTCTATCCTTTTAAATGAATTGTAGACGGAATCAATTTACTATATTTTCTTAGTTTTGGTAGATATTGGAATATTTACATTCGCCCTTTTACCGATGGGGATTAACTACTCGATATGGATCACTCAAAACATCTCTCAGAGGAGCTTATTAGCCAAGTAGCATATTTCATCGGAGCGCAATATATGTACCGTGGGTGCCAGAGACTTTTTTAGCGCGGTTTCTGGTTTCGAGCGCGAACACCGAAAACTCCCCCGCACGCGAGAAAAACCTCTGGTTCGGCTAGGATGCAATATATGCCATGGATTAAACAAATCTAATACCATTTTCACTGGTCAGCAAAGTATTTCCGTTTAACTAAATGATAGGATTCTAGCTTGTGAGGTTATACAAACATTTTTTTTCTGAAACTTCCTTTGATCCTCTCTCATCTAAAAGTGTAGTTAATTAAATAGCCCAGGGCCTTCAAAGCTGGGTTAAGATAACCCAGGGTTAGTGCGAGATTTGAATTTAGATTTGAAAGCTTAAAAGGCTTTTCAGTTTTAGTTCTTTTTGTCCACAATTTGATGATTGGAAGCTCTGAAAAAAGCACAGAAAATTATCTGAGAAAATGCTTTTAAACACAAGAAGAAGAAACCAATGTTAAATTTAACCCCGGGTTAAGCGCTAATCGGCTTTCGAACAACTTGGCCCAGTACTGCTAACCATTAGTGGCGTAGCAGGATTGGAGTTCCAACTGCCTGCCTCACACAGGATATCACACGGCCGAGGATACTTACATGATCGGGACAAGGGAGAAGGAAAATCGCCGCGGAAGAACAAAAAGGGAAGAGAGTGAGGCCCTGATTTTATTGCAACTCCGGACACGAATGATTCTTAAGAAAAGGGGGCACATTTGCACTTGGTTGCAATCAATGAAAATCCTAAAAACTGCAATTTAATCGATAAAAACTGAAAACCTCATACTTGAGCTAAGAGAGGATTTCTCAGGGGGGCAATCACAAAATCCCAGTTTAAACGAAGGAAATACCTCGACTGAAATATCTGGGCCTCGGATCAGATTCTTCTAGTTCTCTTATCATCACTGAAGAATTTGACATTCTGTCGTCCAAAAATGGTCAAATCGATCAATCGTGAGCAAAGCGCAATATACACCTGTTCAGTTCTCGTTACTCACGAGATCGTGACGCGTGACGCTTGAGAAGACCTCAAGGGGTCTGGTGCACAGCGGTAGTAGTTCTGACTGATCGTGCTGAAGATGGAGGTCTCCTTGACAGGAAAATTTGGATTGCTTGTTTTGCTTATTTCATTCTGGCAGTCGTTGGTCTTTGTGGAAACTCTCGACAATGGTTTAGCGAAAACTCCACCAAGTAAGTGCTAGGAAAGATCCATTTTACATTTTCTTGTCATTTCGTTTGAAAGCGGCACCTTTTTCTTGTCACATGATTTTCAGCTGGCTAATATTATGTTTATTCCTTTATTATAAATAGATTTTGATCTTTCGCGTTTTCCCTTTATTATTCTCTCTGTAAATTAGGTAACCCTTATATCAAGTACAGCTATCAGAGATACTTTAGTAAACTGCACATCAAACGCAGGCATTGCAGCTGCCAAAATGAGTACCGCTAGCTGGGAAACTTGTCCTTTCGATATAAAGTCGTTTCAATACAAGTCGTTTCGATACGAACTCAAGCAGTGAATTTGCACAAAAATTTCGATTACTTCAAGTTAAGTTTGCAGCTGAGCAATAAAAACATTTTGGGTGAATATTCTTCGCTCTTTCAGCCAAGTACGTGAAACTATTTGCAACTCGAAGGAATTACCTTGGATCGAAACGACTTGTATCGAAACGACCAGTAACCAACAGCTGGTAGTGCTGAGTTTTGGCGAAGAGTGATAAGGGTGCTTTGCAGCAAGAAGCAGAACCCTCGGCAATGTTACAGCAAGAGGAAACGAGAAAGTATAGAAGTAGACCTCTTGAATATTATGAAACCTTTAAAGTTAAAGTCAATAAATTAATTATTAATTTATTGACTTTAACTTCCTCTTCCACCCCTGCGGTGGATGATACCACAGGGCGCGACACATGCAATCAGTGTTGTAACCGATTGTTGTTCTATAGTAAATGTACTGGATTTACCGTTTGCTTGACCTATAGCGATATATTGCCAAGTATGTCTATAAATCAATGTTAATTAAACGTTGAATTACCTTATCTGTGGTATATTGTTGTACTTTTGTCTCAAAAGCAGTTTTTAGAGCGATTTTGAAGGATTTTGAGTTTGCCTTTTACTGTTCCTAATAGTAGAAGGACAAGGGCGGAATCCATGTTTTGAAAGAGCTCCAGTGCCGGAGCAATTTTCCCCCAAAAAATCGCATCGCTCTGCTTTCAAACTTCGCAGCTAAAAGGTCAAAAGATTCAGGTGTTCAGGTGTGTCTTAAAGAATGGGTTGCAGATCATCACTACAGTTGGTCTTGAAAAACCTACCTATTTTAAATTTAATACTGGGTACAAATTGAGAGGCCCTAGTGTTACAAACTCACCCAACACCAGCTAAGAAATTATTGCATGTGCACCCCTTACCTGTACTTTGCAGACCTGTGGCAGCTGTGTAAACAAAAGTCAGGTGATGGCCTCACTGCATGATCATCATTATTATATATGAATTTTAGTTATTACAGGGACTTTTGTAAAATCGATGGCTATCTGCTTAGGAGAATACCCAAAGTTAGTTATGTGTGATATATTAAGATGTTATTTTCATTTTAGTGGGATGGATGGATTGGGAGAGATTCCGCTGTAACGTAGACTGTACAAATGATCCTGAAAATTGCATCAGGTATTTCTGTTTCCCTCTTTTTTTAAAAAAATGTTGTAGTGTGATGCTTTCTTTTGATTGTATGCTGAGTTAATGAATATTTTTGCTTCGATCATTAATTTTATACAGCATTAATGTTACTGCAGCCAAGCCTGTCATAATAAGTGACCACCCAAAATGCAAAGACTTAGTGGTTGCTTATGGAAGGTGGCTGCTCTGGGGGGGGCACTTGGGTATTTTTTGGGTGGGTATGTGCCGCACGTGACTCCAAATTGGCACCCCGTTCTAAAAAAAATTCCCCTAAAATTGATACCCCGTTCTAGAAATGGGCCAATTTTTTATACCCCGTTCTAGAATTCGCCCAATAACTGAAACCCCGTTCTAGAAATGGGCCAATTTTTTATACTCGGGGTGGTTGCTTATGGCAATCAAACCACTGGGGTCTCTTCTGAGAAGAGGTCTGTAGTAATGTGGAAGACAATAATTTATTTGAAGTTAAAATAATGTGTAGACTGTCCAATTTAGTTACTAAAAGTATTTGTATATGTTCTGGTTCAATTTTATCTTTGGCTTGAATTTTATTTTTCTTTGTTTCAAACTCATTATCATACATTACCATAACCAAAGACAATGGAAAATAGATTTTAAACCATGCAAGAATTGAATTAAAGACATACCCTGAGTTAATTAAAGTACATACAGCGTACATGCATAGAGATGAGACCATGTGTCAAGTGGTTTCTTACAAGAGGTAGAAAACAATGGAAAATCATAAAACCATCAACTTTGTAAAGTGGTTGCATCACTTACATGTACAGGAGGTGGTTTTTTGTGTGTGGTTTGAGCTTTAAGGCTTTGACTGGAAACATTATGGTGTTTTGGGTATAGGTGATCGCTTAATGTAGTTGGTCAGTTACCAGAGTGTTATAGTCACACATGAAGATTCGACTTTATGGCTGTGTTAATTCTTAAATTTAATTATCTTGTTCTAATATTATCAGTGAAAGGTTAATCATGGAGATGGCAGATCGCATGGCTGAAGATGGTTTTAAGGATGCTGGTTATGAATACGTGTCCATTGATGTAAGTTTTCTTTACCTGCATTTAATGTTTATATCCATTACATAGCTTCTTTGTGGTTTGTCTCATTTTTGGATACCAGTCTTAATGAAGCAAAACTGTGTAAATGTTATTTTTAGGATTGTTGGGCCTCACATAATCGTACTTCTGATGGTCAGCTCCAGCCAGACCCTGAAAGATTTCCACATGGAATGAAAGCTCTTGGTGAATATGTAAGTAAAATCTCAGATAAAAGCTGTAAAATCAAGGCTACCTCTATTCCTTCCCTTGTTTTGGACCCTTTCCATGACTGTAGCTCCCATTTCCTCTTAAATGTTGCAGAAACCCCAAAGCAAAGTAACATGAAGACTTTATTTTAATTGGTTAGTACTGTTAGTTACAAAACTAGCTGTTAGGTGCAAAGAGAAGAGAATTCCCCCTGACAGATTCATTGACAAATCAAAAACTATAAAACAGGGTATTACACCATTACCAGATCAATACTACTGACCTTTTCCCTTTTAGTTCCCACCCATGTCTTCCATTGTTCTTCCCCCCTTTCTCCCACCCTTTGTATGCGATGTGGTTAAGACTCTCTATCCTCCTGCTTAGCTTGTGCACTTTTTTTCTCCATGTTTCTAACCCCCCTCCCACTTTCCTGGTGCATTCTCACACCTACATAACATGGTTCCTGTACTCTTGTCTCCATGGCCTCACTCCTTCTTTTCTTAAATTTCCTACTCTCTTCTCTCATTTTTGTCTTCCCTCTTAACCTTTTCTCTTTGTTGACCCACCTGTTCACTAACAGCTCTCATGCTACATATATGTATTTGTTAGTTCTGCCTAATGATGGGTGAAATTGTGAAAGCATGACGAGTGAAGGTAGGGAAAGCAAAGCTTGCCAGGGAAACAATGTTGTTTGCTAGAAAGTAATTATTACTTTTCTAGCAAACAACATTGTTTCCCTAGCAAGCTTTGCTAATCCTTATTACCTTCACTCATCATGCTTTCATAATTAATCATAACTATAACAAAATTGTCAAATCTGATTGGCTATCAACTGCCCTAATTTCAGCCTTAATTGAACATGCCAGCAAAACAAAATTTGGAATTTCTTGTGTTTTGATTTAAAAAATAGCTTATTATATCACAAATTTTGTTAAAGTTATGATTAATTGGTAACAGAACTTCGTGTCGTCCAATTCGGTCTGTGATCATACTCGTGATTAAACAAATTGAACTCCTGCTACGCGGTCGTCTGATTTTGTCAATCACTTGTATGATTACAGACCGAATTGGACTCCACTCAGTCCTGTTACCATTACTAATCATGAGCAAAGGAAATTGGATATGTCTATTGAATTATTCAATCAAGAACACTTACAGGGTGTACATGCACCTTCTACCTTCATTTCCCTCATCTCTGTTTTCTGAGAGTATGCAGTGCATGGTTGGTTATGAATAATAAACCAGTGAAAAAGAAGTACTGCTTGTGTTCAAACATTTATTCTTTAATAATCTTTTGCTAACTTTCAGATTCATTTGAAAGGATTAAAGTTTGGAATATATGCAGGTGAAGTCTGACAAGTGTGTTACAATTTTTAGGAGGAAGGAAGCACTAATGGATAAAATTTATGACTTAATGTTGCTGTTGGATATTTCTTCATTGTGGACATTTCCACTGAAGCTGTTATTAGAGACTTGTTTTAATTCATAAACTTTTTTTTTATCATCTTGGGTTTACTACACACTCCCTCTATTGCCAGTCAGATAAGAATTGTCTCTATAAATGAAGATATTCATTGCAAAACAGTTGTTAAAGGACCTGGCAAAAACTTCATGTTTTTTGAAATTTAAAATTTTCCTTCTCTTAAATGGAAAAGCTGTTTTTCTTTCAGAAATTTCCTTAAGGAAGGGGATCATGTGAGGCTGTCCCAAACAATTTTTTTTATCTCTTTTAAGTGTCTTAAATAATAGTAATTTATTAAATAAAATAAAATAAATAAATAACGATTTGTACTTAGCACATCCACGTAGTGGTTCTTCGTCTACCTGATTTCTGGTCGAATTGGAATTTGGAAATGTTGGTTTTTGAGCAGAGGGGAAAACTGGAATACCCAGAAAAAAACCTCTCGGAGCAAGTGAAAGAACCAACAAACTTCCATTTTATTCAATGTCGTCCTAAAAATTTTCTTATTATGTTTTTAGTTTGTAGATTCCACAATTTTCATGAAAAACCTTTCTCACTAATAGGAAACTTCAATCTTTACCATTCATTTTCTTGTTTATGATTCATGAAGCCAATAATATAATTTTTTTTAATTTATCCCAGATTATGGAACTAAAACTTGTGGAGGTTATCCAGGAAGCATTGACCATATTCAGCAAGATATGAATGTAAGTAAAAAGGAGCCCTTGTTTTTCCTTATAACCATCTTAATTAAATTTATTTCTCATATGACAAGTGGCATCTCCATTTAAAGTAAAACTAGGGACAAAGTTATGATTTTTTAAAGGAGTTGGGGGAGGGGAGGTCACACTGTGTCACACCTTCCATTCATGCTCATCCATACTGTATTTTACTAAAAACACAGAGATTTTTAATAGTTACTGCATGTTACCTCTCCAGATAGTAGCTTAGTAAGATTAGGAAGAGTCCTTTTCTTGACTTCTTTATAGAGTCAAATTCTTAATATTTCATCAAATTTGCTCAAGTGAGCAGCTCTTGGTTGAAGATAAATTTACACATCATGATGGCACATTCATCTGTAAACTCTGAATGTAACGAACTTAATTTTTCTCTTTATTCCACATTATCACAGGAAAGGTTTGTTGATTAATTTTAAGATTAGTAGCTTATCAGGCTCATTTTATCAACATTGCCTCAAAACACTCTCTTTACCATGTTTTAATTTTCATACATTGTAAACATTACATGTTATTAAAAATCACTTTTTAGACATTTGCTGGGTGGGGAGTAGACTATTTAAAACTGGATGGCTGCTATGCTGACCCAAAGACAATGGATACAGGCTACCCAATGGTCACTAAGGCACTTAACAACACAGGCCGACCAATAGTATTCTCTTGTAGCTGGCCAGCTTATCAAGTAGCAGCGAAAATAACGGTAAGAAGCATGCTTTTTCTACTCTTATTATTGGCCAGAATCTGTGCTACCTCACAATAATCTGTATACATAAGTTTTCAACATAAGTAAAAGTACCCCTAGCGCTGCAAACTCCCAGAGAATCCCAAACCAATATCATTCCAAAAGTAAAATGTTTTCCATGCTTTTGATGGTCCTGAAAAAAAGTTCTGCCAAATCATGGCGTGGAATTAAAATACTGTCCATTGTACTTCTGGAACTTGAATTTCTAAGTGCCCATGGCCAGGGGCGCTTTGAACCATCTTGTACATAAACAATTTCTGCAGCCCCACTCCCAACCCCCACTTCTGCGGGTCTTTGAGGATGACATCATCACAACCCATTTTCTGCAACTCTGGTCTCTTCATCCCATGGGTTTACAAGGAGAACAAGAAAGGATTACATGAGTATCTAAAGGAAAGATTTTGGAGGAGGCTACATACGGGTATTATTTTGCCATTATAAATATATTAAGCTACAGTAAGTTTTCCAAAAAATGTGTTTCAACAAAACTTTACTTATTAATATTCTGGTTGCAGAATACCATCCAGATAAGGTTTCAAATTTATTTATACACACTATCATCAGTTATTAAAAAAGTTAAAAGCATACAGTTAATTCAAAACCTTTTTCATTATATCCCTGAGATAATATTGTACTATTAAGACCACTATTTATCTTTAAAATTTGCAGCCCAACTATACAAGAATTGCTGAATACTGCAATTTGTGGAGAAACTATGATGATATACAGGTAATTGATTCAGTAAAATTTGCAATAATATTAGTGAGGTGTTTGTGGTAAAAGTTATGAATGGGTTTCTTGATTGACTGTTGGCCATCACTTAGATGATCATTGGCTGGTGAACTGTATGTTGACGTATCCCTTCCTCAAGGTTGAGCCCTACAGCTCTGAATCGTTCATGAAATCTAAGGTGCCCGGCTTATACTGGTAGGCTGTGTGCATTTTATTGGGGTTCCACTGTACTGCTCGGTATCACCCAACTCATTTCTGATGATGACTTTCACAAAGTCATCTTATCAAAACGAAAGTCAGTGTCGACACATTGCTTTTCAGGACTACCACTAGCCCCAACAGCATTATTCAACTTACATATTCAAGTGAATGTTATTGAAAGGGCGTGTGTGATTGGGCCCTAAGGTTGTAGAAGTTTATAATTAGTTATTAGAGAGATTAAGATTCATGTTTACCGCAAACGGCAAACGTCAGATTCAAGTTGAGAATTTCTCAGAATAGAAAACAGTCCTGAACGATTCCTATGGTTAAAACTGGCATAAAACTACTTATTTTTGTGTAGAAGCACTAACCAGTAAACGAAAATAAGGAAAAACTTGGTCTCGTGGTACAAATTCACGTTTGCCGTTTGGCGTAAACGTGAATCTTAATATCTCTCTATTCTTATTGAGTATGCAGGTAGTAGAACTCGTTTTTTTCTGGCACCGTTTCAACTAAACGCAGAAGTTAAATTAGAAATATTGTGAAAATTTCTCTGAATTAAATTATTGAAAATTTAATGGTCTGTCTTTCAGGATTCTTGGCAGAGTGTCACAGGTATAGTTAAATGGTATGGTGATCATCAAGATGAAATGATACCTGCTGCTGGACCTGGTCACTGGAATGATCCAGATATGGTGAGGCATTTTATGCAACTTTTTCTTGAGGAAAGCCAATTTGTATTACTGCATTATCATTATTTTTTGTAGCTAATAATAATATTATATTTTCTTAGCTTATTATAGGTGACTTTGGTTTAAGTTATGAAGAATCCAAAGCTCAATTTGCTATCTGGGCAGTCATGGCGTCTGTAAGTATATGAAGATTCTCCTTTGATTTTACGACTCATACAGCAGCTGCTTACTCCTCTGACGCTTCGTTTTTTTTTTGCATCCTGGTCGCGAACAAAGGTGAGCACGAAACTTTAGTTACTGGTCACAAAGTGTAAGGAACAACAGGAAGGAAAAAAAGAGAGGTACCTTCCTTCGAACGCAAAGTTGCATTGCGAGAGACTCATCTCGGTACGAGGCAGATGAAGCTGTTTAACCCTTTATAAACCCTATTAGTATATTCTAAAACAGTCGATAGTTTTTTTCGCGTGCTCTGATTGGCTACTCTATCTCTGGATATCCAGTATTAGTATTCATTCAAAATATTTGTCCTTTTCTGATTGTCTGAAATAACGCGATAAATTCTTCATAACCAGCTACTGCTGACCAAATATGGAAGATTGTTTGTTGATATCAGCCAAATTGAGTCACTTCGAGGATTGTTGACAGAAATGTGGACAGTAGAAGCCAGCCAAGCGCTGTACCGAACGAGCTAGTTCCGAAGCGGTTAACAACAATAACTACTGTAATCCGGACGACCATAATCATCCCAAATACTTCTTTACTTTGCAGCCCTTAATTATGTCGACTGATCTTCGTAAAATCCCTCTTTGGGCGAAAGAGATTCTGCTCAACAGGTAATATTTGCCTTAAAGTTTGTCAATAAGTTTCCTTACTTTGGACGGTGCAAGTGAATCTGAACATAATAAAATTCGCTTTGTAGTGAGGTTATTGCTGTGAATCAAGACAAGCTGGGGAAAATGGGAAGACGAGTTCAAGTAAGCCACTTAAAATATATAAATATCTTTAAGTTTAAAACTTAACCGACAGTCAGATTTTCCAATGACAATGAGCTATAACAATTACTCGTTTCTCTCAAAATGGAGACTCATTACAATCAACCAGTGGTTAGATGTGTCTTGGGCCAGTTATTTTGTTAGAAATAGTTATGGTGAGTCCTGGGACTCATCTTGTGAACAAATCATGCTCGTTTTATTGTGGAGACATATGTTTAAGACAGAACCTCGTGAGAACTAGCACGTAACCAGTGAACAACAATTAAGATGCAAAGGAAATGTCTTCCTTTGTTCCAACGCAGTTGCAAAATGTTTGAGATACTTAATCAATCGTAAAACATGATACCGATGATTATATTTTCTTTTGCCACATTAAGAATGGTAGCTCTGAGATCTGGGCTCGACCGTTGGCTGATGGTTCCGTGGCTGTGGTGTTGTTCTCACACTCTGATTCTACCCCAGTTACTATTAAAGCAACCTTTGAATTGGTAAGTGGTCCTAGTTTTGGGCCAAAAAATCTAAATTTTCTCTTGTAAAATCCTAATATTTGAATAGTACTATGCGATAGTTCTGCCAAAGAGGTTTTATATGAATGGTTATATGGATTGGGCAGCTGATGGGGCGGTTCCCCCCCTACTTCGCTCGCAAAAGAGTTTCTGCTCCTTGCAGTGTCGCCTACTAACGTGTACTTGTTTGTCAGATTGGACTGAGCGCTAAGCAAGCTGTGGCACGTGACCTGTTTGAACACAAGGATCTTGGAATATATGACACCATGTTCGAAGCCGTTGTCAACCCGAGTGGAGTGGTGATGGTCAAATTGATTCCACTTATGTAGCGCTGGGAAAGAAATGGTCATCAAGTAAGTTTGCATGAGCATTCACTGCAAAAAAGAACATATTAGAAAATGCAAAAAAAATTCCAGAACTCTCGTGCAATGCCCCTTTCAGTCGATCCCGTAAAGTTGATCAAACCCGAAACAACCCTTAATCCATTTTCCCATGCTCGTCATCTTATCGTGTGCGAACTGAACGACATACAACTAAGGACTAACAATAATCTGATATACAAGTTCGGTAAAAAATATCGCTTAGAGGTGAGGGAAAAGTAAGGGTTGGCATAGTCAGAGAATTTTCTTCTTATAAAGAGCTGCTACGCTGGAATAGCCGATGAGCGAATCGATACAGTTGGCTCTCATCGCCTCTTGCAGCAAGGGGCGATTCGAAAGAGTAGGAACTTCCCTGAGCGGTGGTAAGCGGTAAGAGGTGGCCGCTGTGTCTCAATTGAAAGCTATACATTTCTGCTTTTCTGTTTTTTAGGAAGAACAGTTATTTCAAAGAATTGGATTGATCATGGAGTTTGGAGAGCATTCTAATCAGAAATGTGGGGGATTCATTAATTTCGTCCTTGGTGGTGAGACGAAAATCACTCCGAAATAGTTTCTCACTTTTGTTATATAATGTATTTTCCGTTAGTCTTGAAGGAGCATTTTACAGGATCAAAACACTCATTTTTTTGTACACTTTGCGATGCTCGTTGTTAACAGAGTTCGTCACTTCTTAGGTAGGTAAAATGAAGGAAGTAAAAGAAAATAGAATTGAATAAAGAAGTTATTTTGTAAAGAAACTCTTGTGCTGCGTTGGTGGAGAAAGTAAACAAAATACTGACCATGTCACATGCACCTCCGCAGTGTCGTCAAAATCGGTGTCGACGTGTATGATTAAATAAATGTCAAAGAATAAAAGCAATCAAATGAAATGTTGAAAAACAACGAAGCATCGAAACGGGAGTAGGGAATAAAGGCTACCGACGCTTGTTTTTACATAGCAGGCGTCCCTTTCCTTCTTTCCTCTATGTCCTCTTCCTTTTCCCCACCCTCCCCTCCCCTTTCGAGGCCTACAGTGCCGGCTTCGGTATCGCCGCAACCGTAATTCTTTTTTTGCCGTTGTCATTTTTTTCTTGTCTTTTTATTATTAATACTATTAAATCATATTTAATGTAGTTAACGACTAGGAGCTATGGTCTCGGGTGTTTTTGGCATTCTTTGGTAGCGCGTTGGCCGTCTGTAGCGTTGTGCGTGACTATGTTTGCGTTTGTAGCATTTACCATTGTTCGTGAGCATGGGGGCAGATTCCTGTTCAGCGATATGTCGCTTTGGCGCATGCGGAGGCCATGTGCCTACATTGTGTTTGCGTTTTACTCGAAGTTTTGTTAGCGTGGCCTGGCGTGGCGTAGCGTTCCAGTAGCGTAGCGTTTCTCTTGGTTCCCCTCCCTCCCTCCGCTTTCTTTCATGTTTATTTATTTAGTTATTTATTCTTCCGGGGGTTTGTTCATTTTACTTCCACTGAGCTTCTGCCCTCAGTGTGACGGGTGCTATAGTGGGGGGATGGGCTGGGTCGTGGCTGGGTTGCGGGTTGGTAGGCCTGTGGGTGTTCTTCCGCCTTGGGGTGTACTGCGGTTGCAGCCCCCTGCCCATGGGCACCCAACCTCCACTTGCGACGCAGGCATTAAATGATAGAACATTTATTTTTATTTTGTATTATATATCATCATCATTATTATTTTTATATAGTTCAACAAAAAGTCGAACCAGTCGAACTCGAACTCTATGTTTCGGGATTCCCTATCGAAACCAGTGGCGCGAAATCATAATCTCAGTTTCGAATCATTCTTGTCAAAACGTGCGAATTAGTGCAGTGCCTCCCTGGGTCAAGGCAGCACAGAAAGCTGCAAAATTTTAGAGGAGAGAATTTATTATTGCATTTCATGTTGACTTGTTTCCACAAACAGGATAGCTCCACCCTTCGATGTGTAAACCCACAGTGATAAATCAATTTGATAAGGGGGGGTTTTGAAAGGGAGAAAGGTTTCGAACGGGGAGGTTACGTTGATGTAGCCCTCTCTTTCCAGTCTCCTCCTTTACAAGCAGATTTGGTTCATGTTTTTATTAAATAAACTTAGGAGCGATTCTGCGCGAGGATTTAAAATAGAATGATGTACACATAATATTCCAAATTTTGTTTTCATTGAAGAAATTTCTCGATTATTAAAATAAATATCAAAATGCCGTTAAAGCGCATTAGCTGACTGCAAAATATCGTTGACTTGACATTGACATGTTTATGTTAGCCTGCAAGCAAGCTAAGACGCTATAGGATAGTTACGTGTGAACTACACCACTAGCAGGGACGCGTCTTGCTTGAGCGTAACGTTAGGCGCGCGGTCGCTCGCAATTCCCAAATACATTGCTTGCTTGAAGGCTAATGGTGTGAAAAGAAGTCAACTGTGCTTGCGCTTCTGTCTTGAATTTAATAGAGCTGCAAATAAAGATATTGGCCTTGCTCGATTTTATCCTCTTTTCCAGCCTGGTGGGGTCTGGCCGTATGGCTGCATGCCGACTCTGTTAAATTGCCATCCGTTTTGGAACCAAGGACCGTTTTCATTCTGCATGTAGCCAGGCTGCTGCTCTGCGGCAGCTTGATCTTGTCCGATATTATCAGGAACTTTTTGTTTTAAAATACTATCCATGAATCTTTCGAGAGAATCTGGAAGAAGAAAACGTGTTTTTTTTAATTGCGTTAATGCTCTTTACTTGCGCAGAGCCAATGGTTTAATCATGATAGTGCATGGTTGATCCCAGTTTAACATCGTTCCCAGGGTCTTCTCCTTTTCGAAGATGGCGCTGTTACAGTGATATGGGCATCCCCGCGTTTTGGGCATCCCCATTCCCAAAACGCTAGTGATATTACAGGGGATACCCATAACACTAGGGTTTTGGGAAAGGGGATGCCCATATCACTGTGACGGCGCCTTCCGCCGCCCTGTTGGAGAGCGAGAAGACCCTGGGGCGACGATGATCCTCAGGCTTTCCTCAATGCTCTCCTATCAACTACTAGACAACCAAGAAACATAGTCCAGCCAGCTGCCCTCTCTAATAAACACCCTGGCTTCCCCTAACTACAGTATTGACAATAGAATATCCTACGAACGAACCTACATTTCTTAATTTCTCAATTGTTGGAGGACCCTCACACTTGTTTACGTCAGACGAGCAAATTTCATCACCAAGCTTCGTTTTGAAATGGTAGAGTTGCGAAGTTTTACAAAAATAAATTCCCAAGGCAGTAGAGTTAACAAGAATAGGGAGCGTAAGAAATGACAATGGCGGCGGCTACGAACACGTCACTTGAAAAAAGAATTTGCGCTGCTTCAAACGTTTTCGGGCTTATTCCACTGATCTCGATCAATTCGTCAAATGTTGGCAATTTTTACTGGAGTTGAATTCTAAAGGACTATATCAAAGTTCAGGAAAAAAAGATAGCTGTTGTCTAGTTTTCCCGTCTTCCACAAAACGTGAAATTAGGCACTTTCATGTTGTAGTTGCGCAGAAACGGCAAAGAAATCTGCAAAAAAGCGTGATGACGTTCTCGTTTCCGTCGCCTTCGTCGTTGCTTAAACTCCCTAATTTCTACGCCGCAAAGAGTGCAAATGCGATGAATTTTGCTTACAAACGAGACTTCGCGGTAAAATTAGCTCGTCTGACGTAATGATGTATAAGGCCGGGCCATTGCCGTTTTCACTCTAGTTGACGGACAAATCGGCCGGTCGGGCAAATGTTCCACAACTTGTTCGTTTAGTGTGCAGGCCAGAAACGGGAATTGTCTAGATGGACAAATCGAACTATGAAAATCATATTTATAGATTGATAAATTGACGGACAAAATCAGACGACCTAAACAACCAGCAAGACATTGTTCTTCCCGGCGTATTCTTTTTACGTTAGATGACCTGTCCATACAGTGTGAAAACGGCCAAAATTTAGTGGCGGATCCAGACCTGCAGATAAGGGGGATGGGGAGCGGTCATCCAGAACCTGAGATAAGGGGGATCCCGGTCCCGGTACCGGTTCCGGTCTTTGGGCCCCAGTTTGGTCGAAAAATAAGGGCCTGGTCCCCTCCCCTGGACCCGCCACTGAAATTATCATAGGGCCTTGGTGGTTTAGTGTGGGCTATGTTACCTCTATCCTGGTAACCGCTGTATTCACCAGCATATTGTCCTCTTCGGAAAACTTTTAGTTGCGGCCAACTGTGCACATTAAACCTGTTTTCGCAGATACTTCTTCCCTCACCAAAGCAGTCAATCTGTTAAAGTTAGAGAGGGTATTCATGGTTAATCATATCATTACATCTGTCCTACCCAATCCGCAGGTCGAAGACACAATCAAACTTGTCTTTACCCACCATGTCTTTGAAACATTTACCGGTATTAATTCACTTTCTACGTTGTATATTTTCAACCATGTGATGGCAGGCTAGCTAAGTCTGCGTATAGCAAGCTGTGGAGAATCGTCTCGTAGGACGAAAGATCTCAACTTTTAAACTGCTCTTAATACAAAGTGTTGGATGAAAATGACGAGTCTACAACCAACTCAGAAAGTTTTCTTGTAAGGGTCGGTTGAGCGAGTTTGCGGGCAGAATACACTCTAGTCAAGAGGGGACGGGCTAGAAAACATGCAACTCTTGCCAAGCAGAGCTTAAAAAATCCTCTATTCCTATCCATAGCTGTTCTATATTTTGATCCTGATTGGTTGCAGGCCCGTATGTTAACAAAGAAAAGCGAATGTGTTTAGTTTCTTTTCTGAACTTGGGAATTATAAATTATACTTCTAACACCAACCTTTGCAAAGACGTATTTTCCTTTACGTGCAAAGTCTTCTGCAGCAGCGTCAAAATTAGGTTTTAGTTTAGCACAGTCGCTACACCTAAAAAGAGAGAAGTAAAAGGAGTTCATTTGGTATTCATTGCTAACTGACTTTCTTTTACTAATTATTATTCATAATTGGCAAGGGGAACCCTCGCTGTTAATCAGATTCCGTTATTTTTAAGAATATGGTAAGAAAATTAGAAAGCGTCAAGAAATGCATCTGAATGTGGCCTACTTATCGATCCTTTTTACCACCGTTTTGAATCACGATATCGGCGTTTGGTTGTTGCCGACTATTTACATGGGAGCAAACGAATGACATCATTCGTTCAAAATGGCGTCGCGTGGACAATTTCTGAGCAAAACATGGGCGTCTAGGTCTTTGCACACTTAAGTCTAATACATGTATCCTTTCAATAAAAAATTGGAATTCTGACCGAGTTGAGGTTCCCTTTACGTTCTTCATTCTGCAATGAATACTGAGGCACCTGTTTGCGTGAAGAGAACGCAAAATGGAATCGATCGTTCGCTGAGCCATTTTGTTTGAAATGCCTCAGAAAATCTGGGCTGTAATTTTAGGCGAAGCCTGCAATTTGTACTCTAAGCTTTTTGGTCTTTTTACCAGATTTGGCTCTTCACTTTGTAATGAGTTCCTCTCTTCCCGTGTTTCAAGAAACATTTTCCATGTTGGGGGAGGGGGAGGGGGAGGGGGATGCTGACTCTGATGTAACTTGAAGAAGGACGCTAAGGAGATTCTTCTCTTAGTAAGTCTTATGTGGTCGATGCGGTTTATGCATGAAATTTTCAGCCGGGCAGTTTGTGTCGATAACAATGGGAACAACAATGTCTTACAGGGTTGATCAGACCACTCACGGTTCAATGCCATTACCATGTAGCAAGCTGAGGGCAAGACAGTGACCGAAAATTGGGAATGCAATAAAATACACTTAATATAAAGTGCCCAGACAACACTACAAAGACTGCTACAATGGTTATGAAGTCTTTGTTCCTTTTCGTATTAGCTTATAACCAAGGAAAAACAGATAATAAGAGAAGGAAAAAAGACTTCCTTGATTTTGTCTTTACTGACTTACCTGTAAGATCAACGACCTGTACATGGCTTCAGTAATGTCTTTGGCTTGTTATTATAACTTTCACTCTAAACCTATCCAAGCCACTGACATAATAACAAAAGCCAGGGCGTACAAGTTCTGTATCCGTGAACTAAAATAGTACTACTCTGTACTGTGATCTACTTTTTTGTTTTATATTTTTCTGTCAAATCAAACGGACCACACAGGGAACAAGTTGACAGGGAACATAATTAACTCACCAAGGAGCGTAAAAATCCACCAACATCACATCTTTGTCCTTGAGAAAATGATCAAAATCCGAATTGGTCAATTTAAACACAGGACTCTTGCTTTTCAAGGGAGCGCAAAAGCATGGGCCCACAAGGGAAAGGGCAATTACAAATAAAAGTGGAACCATCGTGCGATTTTTCTGATTTTGATTCTATGCGAGAAAACCTGAAATGTTTATTTGAAGTACCCTCAACATTTTACGCCTCATATGTCATTTGAACGGCTCCTTATTGGTTGACATCTGACCCCTCCAGTGGTTCACTTATTGCATCACATGATTTTTAAAAACGAGATTTATTTTCCTGCTCCTGTTGAGAGTTGAATAAGTTGCAAATTCAAGCCTTTTAATTTACAGAGTTTTTGTGAGGGAATGTATTCTGTTGAAATGAAGAAATGTCACAAGGGTGTCTTTGACACTACACGATAGCGACTGACGTTGAAATTTTATTCGTGAATTGTTATTTTTCTTTCTGAAACTGACCTATGTGATTTTGCAGGTATGTAATTTACTATTCGTAGGAGCAGTGAATATTCAACCTGCTATTTAAAAGAGATAACTATTATAATGCCAATCACGTTTATTAGTGTTTTGAGAGCTGGCTTTTATAAGATTATTAAGGAAAAAAGGTTGAAATCTGACGAAAGGTTACCTCGTAAATCTACAAAGAAAAATTCAAAGAATGATCAGTTTTAATGGTGGAAATATGTATTCATGGTAAGCAACAGGTAGAGAGCTCAAGAATAAAACGCAGACAGACCACGGTTGCTTAGCAACTGAAAAATCCCGGATAGGGCGCTCAGGTGTCGGCAAAATGTTCAGAGGTTTCCAGCAATCTCATCCCAGGGTCTTCTCGTTTGCCATTATTATACGTTTCTGGGAAACTGCCCACCTACCCCTCCCCTAAGCCAACATTAACACTTACCTCTCACTTAGGGCAAAACATTGGCTTAGGGGAGGGGTAGGTGGGAAGTTTCCCAGGAACGTCTAATGATCCAAAATGACCTTCTTCGGTTCCTCAACGGTTCGGTTTGCCACCCAAAAAGGCACGACCATGTTTAGCGGAAGACAGGAGTCAGTGACTGCGATAACTAACAGTCGGTCCTCCAGATGTTGTTCCTTTTCTTTTCAGTTTGAGGACGTGTACGAGACGTCCTAACTATAAGGCTTTGACTCAGAAATGTCTTTAGTGGTTTGGATCCGTGGTCGCGTGTTGGAGGTGGTCGTTTACAAGACGTGGTCCAACATGGAGGTTCGACTAAGTAACTTATGATAAGCGACTTTTCGTTTGACTTTACATAAAGCGGCCTTACCGTAATTTCAAGGGGACTACTGAAAAAACGAACTTGCCACTATATACGTAAAATGCCCAGAATGGCAATTATTTTTTTCGTGTTTGAACGTCGAGTGAATTAAATGAATTTACAGAGCATTTCACAGCCAGTTTGAACAAAAGCGACACCTGTCGATAAGACCCGTCCATCATAACAAAGCATGTTTATATTTCATATTAGCAAAACCACCGAAACCAGTCCGTAACTTTTATGATAATGGGATTCAATCTGTGCTTTATTAAATTCTCAGTCTTTATTTTTTGATGAACAAAAGCATCTGTTTTTCAAACAGTCTGCTTTAAAGCTGTTTTTGTAATGCAGGTATCAATGGAAGGGACGGGCCGTAAGGGAGGGGTACGGGCATAGGTGTGGTGTTTGAACACTTCTTTGACCACAAATTTTGCCCCAACTGCGGTTCTGTTATCGCCAGAAAGGGCTATGTTATCAAATGCGAACTATTTTCCCGTAATAATGTGAGCTTGTGGCTTTCATTGCATCGTCCATATTTAGGAACTACATTTTGCCAGCTTTTTTACAATAAGGAAATTTATTTTAACGGCACGTAATAAAAACTCAAAGTCTCTTGAAAATATATTTTACTGTCTTTTTACTTACAGACTATCTATAGACAAATATAATTTGCGTTTAAAATGCCCAGGTTGTATCAACAAAAGTTCATAGAAATTTAGTCTATAGTCTGTCAACAATCCTACTGAGATGCATTTTGAGATGCATTTAGTGGGCATTATATACTGATCCTTTTACCACGTTCCTATCCCATAAACGTTTAGTTTGAACTTGTTTTAAACAAGTGAATTTATAGGCCTCTAATAATGATCTTAAAGATAAAAAAAGTTTGAGGTTTCAAATTTGTTTCAAATCCCTTTTCTTCTTGGCAAACATCTCGAGTTTTTTTTACTTTATTTCGAATCTGTTTATAATCCGGATCCACTTCCATCACCATCAATGCCGACCGGGCCACGAGCCGGCGAGGCTTGCGACTCGGGAACCCCAGATCCAGATGCCATTTGATCCAAATGAGATGTGGTAGCCTGGGGCTTGGCCCTAGCACCATCAACATGTGCTAGAGGAGGACTGGACTTAGCTGTGTTGCTTACCCTGGTTACAGCATTTTTCAACGCATCTTGGATAGCGCTTTCAATGTCTGCCTTAAGATCTTTAAGAGCAGAAGTGTCCGTTATTTTTAGAGAATTGCTTAATTCTGCTGGAATAGGAGGAGCTGGTTTGACCACAGGCTGGGGCGCCGCCTTGGTCACTGGCTGGGGAGCCTGTGAATTAACGCAAAAGTAATTAGTTACGTTCTAACGGGTCTCTCCAACTAGGTTCCAGTGAGTTTTCAGCTTGATAGAGATATCTGGTCAGCAAGTACACTATATATTTTGCCTTCGAAAGTAAAAAAACGCCAAAATACCAAACAACTACATCAACTATTCTACTTTTAACGATACCGACAGGAAGCAGCGTGGCCGAGGAGTCAGCACCTCGAACTCCGCAATCCGGCGGTCCCAGGTTCGAGTCCCGCTCCGTCAACTTCCTGGATTTGGTCTCGGTTGTCTCGAGTTCAAATCCTTGGCAACGCTTGTAAATAGCCAACTGGTAGCCTCCTGTCAGTTGGGGTTTTCAATTTTGTTATGCTGTTTTTAAATTATTTGTGCCAGAATTATTTGAGTGGAGTGCGCTTTCAACCTGCTAAAGCCATATACCTAGTCAAATGAATTAACCGTATTTTATGGCATTCATTTTCAGATACCTGTGGTTTATTGAAAGCTTGCTGCTGTTGTTCTGTGGATGGGTTTTGATGGAATTGCTGTTGCTGCTGTGGAGTTTTTTCATCATAGTGAACTGCCAGTGCTGGTTTGAGAGCTTGCCGCTGTTGTTCTGTGGGTGGGTTTTGATGGAATCGCTGTTGCTGCTGTGGAGTTTTTTCATCATAGTGAACTGCCAGTGCTGGTTTGAGAGCTTGCCGCTGTTGTTCTGTGGATGGGTTTTGATGGAATTGCTGTTGCTGCTGTGGAGTTTTTTCATCATAGTGAACTGGCAGTGCTGGTTTATTTACCGGTTTTTTGTGTTTTCTATTCTGGTGTCTCCTGGAGGCGGCCATTTTACTTCTATAGTAAGGACTGGCTTGTGCTTGATAGCCGTATTGACTTGCAAACTGGCTTGGATAATTCCCGTACGCAGCTTGAGGATACGCCCGGTTAATTTGCACGTTTTGTGCTGCCAAAGCCTCGGGTCGGTAATACCCACGATAGGTCTGGGGTTGAGCGAACGAATTTACACCAGGACGAGGGGGCTTGGTAACCGCTCCTGGAAAGCTATGTGGGCTTGGATTTACCTCCCCTCTACTAAAAGCTGTTAGTTTAAGTCTGTATTCTTTGAGTCTCCTCTGGTAGTTCTTGTAAGCTGCGATCATTTTAAGCTTGGATCTGTAAACATCTAACGAAGCCAAGTTACCAAATTTGGATTGCAAAGTGTCTGGGCTGCTCCCCTGAGGAGCAGGGGAAGTACCTCCAAGATATGCTGCTGCGTTTGCAGGGTAATGTGTTTGCGCAGAACCGTAGAAGGAAGCCATAAGCGACGGGTTCTTCGCATGCATACTTGCTTCATTTATGTAATTTGGTGCAATGTCTGGGGAGGCACCTTGATTTGGAGAGGGATGGTGGAGGGGAAACATTGCTTGAGCTAATGATGCAGGCCCGGCTACCCCGCTAGTCAGCGGTGCATTTTGAGATGGGATTGATGTTACTGAGTCCACGTATTGCATTAGTGCACCTGAATAAAAAATGGCCATACTTAAGTAGAATAAGGATATTCCCTTCTGATTGGCTGTTCACTCCAAGTAAGCATGGTAAGGATTCTTTTGTTCTCACGCACAGTGGAACCTTGATAATTACGAACCTCCATGCAACGAAGACCCCGATAAAACAAAATGAAATTCTTTGACCTAGTTATAGTAAAAAGCACGGGGAAGGACCCCTTAATAACGTCCCTGTCTTCATCCCATTGTAGCTAGTGATTTTTTAAGTCCCTCAGTTATATTGGGGTCTCTCCCTGTAACATTCTTTGGGCCTGAATTTTATTGTTTGGAAAAAGATTTTTGTGTGTTTTTTTCTTTTTATAGAGTCTCATCAATAACTACCAGACTTTTTGTTTTCATAGGTTTCGTAGTTAAGAAAATTACGCTTTTTTAAATGACTTTTTATTTGCTCACCGCGGTCTCGTTGTCCAACATAGTCACCGATGTATTTTCCATATCTGAACAATTTTAGGGTGGGGTATCCCTGGATGTTAAACCGCTGACACAAATCCTTGCCGTCGTTAACGCAGTCTACCTGTAAAAAACGTCAAGCCACTGAATGAACTGGCATTTAGTACTTTCTTTAGAGAGAAAGATTCTTTTTTCTTCCTCTACTTCAACGAGTAAAAGTTAAATGTTTTCCTGTTTGAAAATGTTCGACGTATAATCTAACAAGATAACTAAGGGACGTTCTGTCAACCAAATCATTGCTCAGCATCAGATCGAAATGAGACGTCTTGATTAGCCTTAGTGATTAGTTGAGTGGAGATCTAGAGCACGAAACCTAACCCCTTTCGCGCTTCTCTCTTAAATTTGCCCCTTAAAACGACTGATACTTCGGCTACGTCTTGATTGTCAGATCAGGAACATTTCAAGGATTTTCCTGTCAGTCCAGTATCCGAGCTTGTTTCCTGTAAATGTAGCAATGAGACAATTGCACCATAACGTCATTTTACTACAACTACCAGAATGCTTCAGTTGTCGTTTTCTTGTGCAAATTAAGACTATCGTTTTT